AATTTCGCTTTATTTTGATAGAAGTCTATTCAAAAGAACTTTGCCAATAAATAAAGTGGGTCCAGCCGAACTACTTAATAATGCACAAATCAAATAATTCGTTACCTATACAGACCTGAAATGTCTTTTTTGACCCCATTATGCTGGTGTTAAGTTATGCAAACTGTAATTCAAAAAATATAGCCAATTAAATTGCATAAAAGATTAAAGTAAGCCACATAATTCACTGGATCGAAGCGCGGATCCTCCTCAATATCAAGATTGAAGTTGACACTGCGTTCAGCGTCACGACGCTCACGACCCCGTCTGTTTTCGCCACTTGCTCTGCCTCTGTTTGATATATTGAGGTGGCGATTGGATTGACGCAATGAGAGGCGATTGATGGCGCCATCAAGACTGTTCTTTGATTCCTCCAAAGCTGTGCTGGCCTCGTCGGGAGGGTAGCCCATAGAAACTAGCTGGGCAAGGTTGGCGTCGCGCTCTACTGCCATCTCTACTCGCGCCTGTTGGAATCTAACAAGTGCGAAATGGCAAAACATTGAAGAAGAAAAGTCATTACCACAAAGAACTCGATTTGATGCACAAATTAAGTAACATACATCTTAAGTTGTTTGGATACAAAAAAGTGGGTCAGCGCCATATATTGGTGACCCAACCAGTGAAAAAAAACCAGGAAATATTCGTTTATATTTACTTCAGCATGACCTGAACAAAAGGCATTCTTCTCACTCATACTTTTAATGTTGTTTTTTGTACGTTTAGTAAATCGTGTACCAATGATGCATGAGTAATGTCAACAAAGGTGAACCATTTATCCCCGACGAGCGGAAAATTGTATGACATTGTTGGTTGTCTATGGTGAAAGATTATTTAATGTACTGAAAAGGCGAAAACTGTTAAAGGAGTTTGGAGCATTTTGGATTAATTCAGCGTCATAAGCCAGATTCTTTACGACCGACTAAATTGACTTGTAATGCACAAATGGGATTTGGACAAAACCTGGCTATTTTTATTTTGCCAACACATGCGATGAAACCAAAGCTTTAATTTGGGAAAAAAAAATACCAGCCGTTTTTCAACACAGCAAGTTAGGTTAATCAGAACCATAACAAATTCATCAAGTCGGATTTCACAACGGCATTCTCAAAAATGAGCTTCTATTCCTAGTAAAAGTGGTTAGCAAAGGCGAATTACGATGAAAGACTAACTTGGGAGAGAAGTGGATTTGATAAATGAGTGAGTGCCTTGCGCTTAACCAAAGTCCTATGAATCCCTAGCTGATGTCCAATAGACCGCAGTCAAAGTTCAGCTCACTTCCAAATTCATTACGCTTTTGGGAAAAGCGGCAGTCGAAAGATGGTTCGTTAATAAATAATGCGTTGTAAGACGCAACCATCTATAGGGTTAAAGGACCCTCCAGACTACACTTGGAGTAGCCTTGATTACCACTAGTGCGACACCGATATCGAATGCCGTTCACTTGTCCAAGGTAAAATAATCAGATAAGATGTGATGGTCGACTACAGCAGTTTGAAGGAGGCGACATGCGCAATCTTATCGTATGCGACCACTACCACTCCCCGAAGTCCAGTTCTGTCAAGCTAGGCAATGGTGGGACGCGTTAATTATTTAACCCCTCCCCCCAAGTTAGGCAGCATCATTGTGAGGGATCACGCACATAAATATTACCCCCACTAACGGGCTGATGTCGAAGGCAGCAATGCTCCAAAAATAGGGATGATAATGCAAAATAGTACGCTTACCGTTTGGCAGAGGCACAATGAGGCGAATAAAGATCGCATGATTATCTCACCATAAACAACCGAGTTGCATTTAGAGTTCCCTTTAAAGTTCGTAAAATAAGTGTTAAAATCGGCTATATTCAATGGGATCCCATGTTCAACCCCATCGCTAAACAAGTCGCATTCTCATTTAAGTGGACATAAAGATGGCTTGGCAACGATAAAAGGATGTGAAGCAGAACATCGCAAACCGCAGAAAATTGATTATAAAGCAAACTATGTAAACGTTCACTTCAACTGGCATACAGGAGAATGGGAGATCGCACCAATTCGGCGAAGCCTTTTCCCAATTTTATCAACAAACTCCACGGTTGTCAAAACAAATGATGGCTTTTGCCCAAATAAGCCTAAGATTGAAGAGCCTAGTTTAGTACAGAATTGGGTGGAAGGGAGGCAATGGGATTGTGGGATTGGGAGGTTTCGAAGTGGTGACTCAAGCACCTCTATGCTGGGTGCATAGACGGCAGATGCTCAGAGCAATTAATAGCAACAACGCTCTCTACTAGCAACAGCAGCAGAATAGGAGGGAGTCAACGAGAACGAACGGGCGAAAGGGAGGAGGGAAGAGATTATCGCCGCCGTCTGTCGCCAAGATAATAGAGTAAATTAACCAGGAAAATGTGACAGACGAGCGCACATCCCCTATGTATTTGACTGGGCGATATCCCAGGACCCATTATATTGTTAATTATCGGATGTGATTATAGGCGTTGGTACAAAATTCAGC